GCTGCATGGGAGGAAAAGAAAACACATTATGAGAGAGAACAAATTGTAATTTCATTTTCCGCATTTGTTTTAGGATCATGACCGCACAAGAAGTTGTAGAGTCTATCATAATTTTCTTCATCTTTTCATACCTTTTTATGTTTTTTAAAACCTTTGTCATACAGAAAGCCACAATTATAATTTTCCTTGTAACTTCTATTTTATTTTCCCAGAACTCTTTAGCTACATATCTAAGTCTTTGTATAACACTGATGGTTTGGGAACCTCAGCAGACACGGCCCTAGAGCTTCAACAGTTTATTGTTCATTGTGACAAACGATCAAGCTTTAAAAGTTTTCTCATTGGCATTAGCACAGTTTTCCCCATTGTTGTTGGTTCCATGACATAGGAATATCACCAAATCCTAATCCATACTGAAGTAACATTTTTTTTTTGGGAAACTGAAGAACTTGATATTAAGCAGTCTTATACAAGCTATGTTGAAGCAAAGATAACACTGATTTTCAAGCTCAATTTATGGACGGCGATACTTCCACATCCTTTTCAGTTTCCTTGTACCCATTCCCAGAATACCTGGATGTTGAGCTCAAAATCTTGATTCTTAGCCCCTGTTTTCTTGCTCCTGTAACCACTCACCATTTTGTTAGGACTGTAAATATACACATTCTTCAGGCACAAGTGTTATCCACTTTTTTTTTGGTTAGCCTAGTGTACTATAATATCTAGACCTGTTTCATTCTGATGATTGAATATCCATTCTTGTAAGAAGGCCATTACCTCTTTACTAATTAGTTTTTTTTAAATTAGGGATGCCATGGTCTATACAAATATCTATCAATTAATCATTATCACACCATCTAATCATGAATATGGGAATTTGCTAGTTCGTCTCAGGTCTTATGCATGAATAAGTTAGCTATCTGAGAGGTCCTAGGCCTATCCATGTACTATATTTTGGAATTGTTTGTACTCCATAGGTGATGACCTGGTTTCTAATCAGTTTAACAAGAGCCATGTTAGCTACCATCAACGAGTAAAGAAGTGGGAGCCTTTATCATGTAAACTTTAAGATGATTTTTTTTGAAATCAGCAGTAATCTTTTTGATACCGGCAATTTATTCTCTTGCTAAAAAAGTTAAGATCAAGTGATCTATTACGTCGAGTAATATTCATTTTCCAGTTTCCAGTTTACTTGAGAATCCCATACCCTCCATATCGGATTTTGGATTTGCTAGATAGACTTCCAGTTAAGGCACTCACATATGCAAATAGCAAAAATTGTTATGTGCAGGTTGCTCGTTCAACCGTTCTCTCAACGAGCACATATTAGTCATTATCCTAAGTCCTAACACCATAAAGTTAATAATCCTCAAAGAGTATGCATAAGTAGGTTTTCAGTATATATTAATTCACATGAACTCGAGATCTAAAGTTACAAGCATTTTGAGGGAGGAACCATGGGAATGCACATGCTTAAGCATGGGTGAACGTATTACTGGGCTGTGCACTTTTGAGGAATTCCTCACTCAGGTGCTACAGTAGTTCTCTTATTCCTGCTCTTAATTGCATTCTTACCGTTTGGTAATAAGCTTTTTCTTATTTTATTTATCTTCATATCACTGTTCTTTCCACGGTCCACCTTTTCCATTTATTTTCTACCAGTTATTTAAAAAATGAATATGATAATAGTATCTATATCCATACAATTCTGGTTGCTTTGCAATTAACTGCAAGAGTCTTGTCTTATGGAATCTATTAGACAAAGATGCTACGTCCATCACAAGGTGAAGAAAGAAATCAACCAAAGAGAAGTAGGTGTAGCAGATTGAGCAGAATAAGAGCAGAAAATAAAGACATGTTTGGTCAATTCTGCAGGTTGTTAAAGTTTCCAGTCTGCCTTTCTGTTTATCAACCCGGGATCCTTATTTAATGGTGGACCCAAAAAAAACCCTTCATAAAGATTGTTACCATTCTATAAGTTAAAACCATTCTTAGAAACTATGCATCTAAAGTAGTTCTGCACATACTGTTTTCAGATTACACTGTACATCTTTATGATATTTATATTGATTTATTGCTGCTTTAGTAGGAAGGAGAGAGGGTATTGTCCTTTGTTGCCAATATAAACGGGTCTTAGCCTGTATCTCACTCCTTGAGAACTTCTTATTTGGCATTTGTTGGCTTTATTTCACATTATGAGGTTAACTGTAGTCAAACTGTAAAATCACACCAGCCTGCAGTCATATAGTTTCATCAAGCAAGTCTTATTTCTGACAACCTGTTTCTTGGTATAAAGTCATCTCTTCCTGGCAGCCTTAATTGCATTCCTTTTATTATTTCCTGCTGTTTGACGAATTTTGGATTCCACTATTCCAGCACGCATATTTCCTTATATGCTTCAAACATTGATTAGCCTTCAACACTAGTCAAATTTGTTATCTTTAAACTATTTCACCTGATTTCCTATTTAGGAAGATTCTTGTAAAAAGAATTTCTTTTTAAATGTATCTTATTTGAGACTTTTTACATCTAAATGGGAATCATATGGTTTATGATATCCAGCCAGCAAAATCAACCCTGATGCAGTCAAATGTGCAAGATGCTCCACCAATGGTGAAGCAGGAAAGCTCTCCACGACCTGTAAAGTGGATTATTAAAAATCCGGTGGACATGGCTAAATTTGATGAGAAGGTTGATGATAATGGATTCATCAGAAGCTCAACGAACAATGTGGCACCTGAAACTAGTGAGTTTATCAAGACAGTGCCAAGTGCTGAAGATGCTCCATCAATGGTGCAGGAATTGTCTAGATCCTCAAAACCTACCAAGAAGAGTCGTAAAAGGGCACTACATAGAGCTGAGGTTGATTTACGGAGTGGCGGAGATGAATCTATTGGAAGTACTTCGAACCAGTTGGTCCTTTATAATCCTGGTTCCAGTAATGCAACTGAGGATGCCCTTCCACTATCTGAGCACACTGAAAGTTATACCTCATCTTTCCAAAATATGGTAGCATCAAATCCTTCTAGTCGAGTACTACCGTCTGTTGGGGCATTCACAGTTCAGTGTGCTAACTGTTTTAAATGGAGACTTATTCCAACGAAAGAAAAGTACGAGGAAATACGTGAACACATATTGCAAAGACCTTTTACTTGTGATGAAGCTCGTGCATGGCGCCCTGATATTACTTGTGATGATCCAGCAGACATATCTCAGGATGGGAGTAGACTTTGGGCAATTGATAAGCCTAACATCGCTCAACCACCACATGGATGGGAAAGACAGCTTAGAATTAGAGGGGAAGGGAGCACCAAGTTTGCCGATGTGTAAGTGTACTTTTCTTGTTCTTTTCTTTTGTTTATAAGTTCCCTCTCTTCTTTTGTTAGAGTAGTAGGAAATACATATCTTCTTTTGATTGGAGTTGAATAAACAGATACTAGTCGGTTGTTTTAACTGACTTTAAGCATATGACAAGCAATTTGATATTTTTGTTGTACATAAAATAATTATACTGATAATTATATTTAGAAATGCATCTATCGTTGCTTTCTGCTCCTCTTAATTCTAAGATTGTTCTTAAAAAGAGAGAAATTATTGTATCTTAAGTTGCTCGCTGTGGATTTGAGGAGTTATGTGCTAGGTTGTATGTAGGATTTATGCATGTGGCTTATTTTGTCCCTTGATATATTATCCCAACCACGTCACAAGGTACCTGTGCTGATGATATTTTCCATTTCCTTTGTATCTTTTCCTCCAGCAAGTGTACTCCGGAGTGAAAATCATAGTTATCCGACCCAAACAAGCTTATTCCAAGCTAACGAACAAGTAAAACCAATTCTATATTAAATGGTCTCACTTTGTTACTGTGATGCCTCAGATGTCACGGCATTTTCTAATTTCATTCTCATGGTACAGAGCAGTATGAGTAATGTAATATACTTGTCAATGACACTTAGGAAGTTAGGATGTAAGTGACTGTAGTTCGCAGGTGGACGGTTGCTCATGATTTCTACATCACATAGTTTGGCTCCAAAAAGTTATCGCTGTTCAAACTTTCAGCAGTATCTACCGTAAAAGTCAATATTTTATGGGCTCTGCTGCAGTTCCAACTTACTGGGAAAATCTTCTGTTGAGTTTGATATGTTGTTGCTACATTGATCGTAAATGCAAAAGCAGGCTACAAAGTAGTGCCATTGTAGGTCAGCTAGTCAGGCATATTATGCAGCGACTGAGTAGCTGTGATCTCAAAGTTATGTTGTATATCAAATATTTCATATAATATACCCTTTTTTATAAACTGTACATGCTTTTATATGATGTTAACACTCAAGGATATATGATGTTAACACTAAGGATACATAGGACGTGCATTAGCATTTGGTAACATCATTATTTTTCGTAAGTGTTAAACTTCCATTATCCTGTTCCATGCTCCCCCTCTTAATCTTATCTTTAGTAAGGTATCTGTTGAAATGAAAGAAAAAGGGAAGACAAACTATATTCCAATGTTTGAAAAAGCTATTTTGAAACTCGCTTCGCAACTTTTTGAAGGGTGAACGCTTCGTAACTTAAAGAGTGAAGCTATTTATCTCTTAAAGTTTATGCCTCCTAGCTTAAAGCATAATTGAAGTGTGCGCTTCACGCTTCATAAAGCGTTTTTCTTTTGAAGCGCACACTTTAGGCAGAATTGAAGGATATAAAAGGATTTTTAACTAACATTAAAATGCCCCTATGTATTTTTAATATGACCATGTGAGTGTAAATAAAATATGTACGTTATGCATCTATCTGAGTTTATTATGATTTATTTCTATACTTTATATATTTAATTCTTATTTTCTAATCAGGACATGAATGTATATATTTATAAATTATTATAACACTAAATATTATATGTTCATAATTTTTACAAATCTAAAATTAAAATACTTAAACTCATGAAGCTTACGCCTCATGCTTTAAAGGTTGCACCTTGCTTCATCAAAGGGTTTCACGTTTCACCTTGTACTTTTGCTTTGTTAAACATTGCTATATTCTCATTAGGAAAAGAGAAGACAAACTATATTCTTAGTTAAACACTTTGTCGCATCTCTATAAAGTAAAACTCTAATGAAGTACTATAATTAACTAATACATTGAATCTAGACTAGGGGTGAGGATAGGCCGGGCCAGTTCAGGCTCGTGACTCGACCTGTCGGGTTCAAGGCCAAGCAGGGTCTGACCTAGGCCCGACCGGATCAAAGTGGGCTGGACCTACTTTTCTAATCATAGGTCTAGGACTGGCCCACAATCCGCCTAGGTGCTGTCGGGTTTGACCTGGTCCACGGCCCATAGGTCATGGGTCGACCCATGGTTTTGTCCAACTCTTTTTCTTATATTTTACCTTTTTAATTATATTAAGCTTATATTTACAATTATAAATTTATTTTTAATTTATTTTTTAGTAATTTTAACTTGTATTGAACTATTTTTAAACTTGTATTAAACTTTTTAATCCTTCCAAGTAGACAACAACAAGCTTAAAGATTGTTGTCTTGTTTCTCAATAGGCCAAAAGGCCCACGAGCCAAAGACTAAGTCTTTTTGGCTTTGTTGGTAGCTAGCTGCAGACCCAAAGTGTTGAAGGAACATCTAGCCTAACCAAAATATATATCATGGGCCAGATCAAGCCGAGTCGAGCCTGGGTCGGGTCAGCGTGGGCCCAGACCTACTTTTTTGACTCCGGGTCTAAGGTTGGACCCAGCTTGACCTGTGATTCGGTATATCATCTGCCCCATTATGGGTCGGGTCGTGACCCATAGCGGGCTGGGTCGGGTTAGCCCGTGGGTCGACCTGGCCCACGCCTAACCCTAATCTAGACATATTCATAAAAGACAATAAATAATATAATTTTTTTTAATAAAGAATGAATCTTCCAAATCTTCCAGTACTTCCCCTCAGGCTGAAGTATAGTGATTAACAGATCAAAGCTTGTCCATATAAGAGTTGAATAATATTTCCATAATAGTATCTCGGTCATATCAATAATTTGATGATAGCTTGTCATAACAAAGAGAGTTGAACAAATCGCCCCTTGTGGCATCTTGGTCATATCAACATAAAAAGATCGAAACTAAGCCGATTATATCAACAGTCGATGAAAAAAATAGTAAAGGCGAAAATAATGCTAATAGGAAGTAAGGGCTTCGCAAGTGACGTCGATAAAAAAGATTTGTGAGCATTAAAAGATGCTTCGTGAGCAACGTCGATATAAGGAATCTTGCAAGCGAGATAAAAGACCATGTTATACAATGGTATAGAAGTCGATGTTGATTGATGACTATATGAAGATCCAAAAATCAAGTAGCCATATAGAAGAATCACTAATGACGAGATCAATGTAAAGCGCTAGAAAAATGGCAAGATCAAAAGAGGATGCTGCAACAAGGCTAGGGGCAAGAGAGGGTGTTATTTGGAAGGTGTCGGCTAGGGAGCAACTAGCCAAGAAGATCTAACGTCCATCAATGCATAATCATGAGTAGCCCTAAAATAAAACTATAGACTTTTATATCAATATGAACTTTCAACCTGTTAGAACAATCGGCTTGTGAGACAAATCAAAGACTTATTATAGCTTGTTGAGGGGGTGCTTGGTGATGCTTCAGAGGCACTTGTAGACAAACAGAGAAGGGGGATTGAAAGACATGGTTGAAGCTGAAAATAAGATCGAGCCGGCAAGGGGAAGCACAAAGATGACGCTTGCAAAAATCCCGTCGGCTGCCTTGAGACTATGAAAAAAGTGAAATTCCTAGGATTTAAGAACTTGCTTTAATACCATGTTCAAATAAAAGAAAAAGCGAAAACGAACTATATTCTTATTGATTATGAAGAAGAGGTCGGTACCCCATATTGAAACACTTTGTCGAATCTCTACAAAAGTAAAACTCTAATAAAAAAAAGGAACATATAATAGGGAAAAGTCCTAAATAGAGATACTATAATTAACTAATATATTGAATCTAAATATCTTCATAGAAGACAACAAATAATATGAGATCTTCCAGAAGAACCTTCCAATAGTATCTTCAAAAGTTCTATAGGGGAGTTATTGGCAAAATCTGTGCAACTCAGTGGCTCATATATATGGCAAACCGACCATATATCAATTTCTATCCAATTAGAGGGTCTATTTTTGTGGATTTATGTTTATTCAAAAGTGTATGAATAACGATGGTCTCGTGAACCCACTATAATGTCAAACCATAAGAAGCATGTTATGTTTTTATATCCATAACAGATTAATATGCTGAAAGCAAAAATATTCTATTGCATGAAGGTGGAGGACAAGAACATCTCTAATTTTATTTGACTAAGTTTCTGAAAATTCAATAAGTGTAGTGTATTGTAAACATGTCATATCTAACATGCTCAATTGATAACCGAGAGACAGTTTGCTTTTAAGGTTCTTGTCAAAATTCTCATTGAATTTTGGAGGAATCTTCCCATAAGCATGGACTAACTGTAAGAGCATGTTCTTGTGGAGGAATCATTTGAAATTGAAGAAAGAGATCCTGGAGGGAAAAAGGTGGCACAAATTTCGGCATCGGGTTACTGTAACTTGAATTTTCTTTAGACTGTATACAAACCAAATATTGATTATCTCAAAATGTGATTTGTATCTAAAACTATATTATAAGTTACGATAAATTGTATTGACTTGTAAATTGATCTGAACCCATTTAGAAATATTATTAAGGTTTAACTACAAATTTGAAGTTTCAAAACAAATATAAATTTTAACAAGAAGAACTGAGAAGTTCAGACCAAACGTATCTATTTGCTGATAGAAATATAAAACCAATCTTCGTTCCCATTTCTTTCTCATTCACCAATGAAAATACAACCTAAACTTAAATGGATGTATGCCTTGTAATATTGTGAAGATAAAGAAATAGTTTGAGACAACTAACTTTTATTAAGTATAATCTACTAGCGGAATATGAGACAGACCAAGAGGGAAGATACGAGACATACACATGTTCTTACAAAAGATAGAATTTTGCTTATGTATAGTGAAAGTCTATTAATGATTTGCACTTGATAGACGACCGCATAAAGCCCAAAAAGGAAAGCAAAGGGAAGAGGCATATATCTGGCAATTATTACTAATTGTTAATTTTCAATGTTGTCAAAGGAGCGCGCCTCATTGCTCCTCATGCTCCCTGTGGGGCAGTGGCAAAGTGCCCCATCTAATGTGATAGCGCCTTTTTTGCGCCTTGCAATCTCCTTGTGTGAAATGTAGAGCGCATGCAAGGCGGGACCTAGCATATTTTGTTCTTTAACATTTC